TCTCAGAAAGCTACAGTAATTAAAATAGTATGGTATTGGCATAAAAATAGACACATAAATTTATATATTAAATACAATAAATGGAACAACAGAGAGCCCATAAATAAACCCACGTATAAATGGTCAATTAATATATGCCAAAAGAGCCATGAATATATAAGGGGAAATGGACAGAATCTTCAATAAATGGTTTTGGGAAACTGGACAGCCGCATAAAAAAGAATGAAACCGGACCACTGTTTTACCCCATACACAAAATTTTACTCAAAATGTATTAAAATATAAGGCCTCAAAACATAGGTTGTAAGCTCCTACCAAAGATCTATAAATAAAAACAACAGCTAAAATCACATTTGATGGTGAAAAAATAGATGATCCTTCCTACTATCATAAGCAAGACAAGGATGTTTTTCAACCATTCTATTCAACATAGTACTGGAAATCCTAGTCTCCACAGTAAGACAAGAAAAGTAAGAGACATACAGATTGACAAGAAAGAAAGAAAACTGTCTCTATATGCACGTGACATGACTGTCTCACAAAGAATCCACAAAAATAAAAATATTCCGGAACTGTTAAGTAATGTAAACAAGAAGGCAAATTATAAGATCAAGACACAAATAAGAAATCATTTTCTCTATGTTAGCTATAAACAAGTGGAATTCAAAATTTTAAATCTAGCACCACTTACAATTACTCAAAAAAATCCAAAAAACATACTTAAGTATATATTTACCAAAAATATATATAAACAGATAAAAGAAATCAGGAAAGACCTAATTAAATGGAGACACATACCAACTGCATGGATCAGAAGAGTCAACAGAGAAGAGATGGCAATTCTCCCTATAGAAAATAGGGGAGAATAATCTAAGTTTTTCTATAGATTAAGTGCAATTCCCATTGAATTCCCAGCAGGATATTTTGTAGATATATACAAAATTATCCTAAAATGTATATGCAAAGGGGAAGGCCCTCCAAAAACAAAAACAACCTTGATAAAGAATACTGGAAGGAATCACTGTACCTGGCATTGAGGGTTTCTATACAGTTGTAGTAATCAACAGTGCAGGACTGATAAATGGAAAATATTAGAAAACCACTGATCAATGGAAACTATTAGAGAACCCAGAAATAAACCCACACAAATTTCTCAACAGATTTTTGACAATGTGCGAAAACAATTTATTGATGGAAGGATCACATTAAATGCATCACATTAAATGCATCACATTAAAACTATAAAACTTAAGTAAAAGAAATAGGAGAAAATCTTTTCCTACAACTAAGCAAAAAATTCTTAGACTTAATACCACCACAAGCATAGTTAATAAACACATTAGATAAATCAGACCTCATCAAATTGAAGAATTGTGGCTCTGTGAAAGCACTGAAAACTACAAGACATTAAGGAAAGAAACTGAAGAAGACACATGCTCATGATTTGAATAATATTGTTAAAATGTCCATACAACCCAAAACAATATACATATTTGATACAATCCTATAAAAATTCCAATGGCATTTTTCACAGAAATAGAGCAATCCTAAAATCTGCATGGAAGCACATATTACCCTGAGTAGCCAAAGCAATCTTGAGGAAGAAGAACAAAGCTGGAGGCATCTCTGATTTCAAACTCTCAGAAAGCTACAGTAATTAAAATAGTATGGTATTGGCATAAAAATAGACACATAAATTTATATATTAAATACAATAAATGGAACAACAGAGAGCCCATAAATAAACCCACGTATAAATGGTCAATTAATATATGCCAAAAGAGCCATGAATATACAAGGGGAAATGGACAGAATCTTCAATAAATGGTTTTGGGAAACTGGACAGCCGCATAAAAAAGAATGAAACCGGACCACTGTTTTACCCCATACACAAAATTTTACTCAAAATGTATTAAAATATAAGGCCTCAAAACATAGGTTGTAAGCTCCTACCAAAGATCTTAGCAATGTATTTCTCACACCAAAAGAAAAGCAACAAAAGCAAAAATAAAAGTCAGACTATATCAAACTACAAAGCTCCTGTATAGCAAAGGAAACCATCAAAAAAAATACTGAATAGGAGAAAATATTTGCAAATCATATATCTGGTAAGAGATTACTAATACCCAAATATATAAAAGATCATACAACTAGGTAGACAAAAAAAAAATTAAAAATTTTCTGGGCAGAAGATCTGAATACACATTTTTCCAAAGAAGACATACAGATGGCCAGCAGTTATATAAAAAGATGCTCCACATCACTAATCATCAGGGAAATGCAAATCAAAACCACAATGACGTACCACCCCATCTGTCAGAATTAAGTGCTAGTAAGGATTTGGAGGAAAGGGAACCCTTATGCACTACTGGCAGGAATGTAAAGTAGTATACTACTATGGAAATCAGTATGGAGGATCCTCTAAAAATTAAAAATACAACTACCATATGATCCAGCAATTCCAATTCAACACTCTTAAAACTATATGCACCCTCATATTCACTGCAGCACTATTTACCACAACCAAGATCTAAAAGCAAACTAAGTGTTCAGCAATGGATGAACAGATAAAAAACATATGCTATTTGTGACAAAATGGATGGACCTCTAGGACATTATGCTAAGTACCATATGATCTCTCTTAGATCTGGAATAAAAAACAAAAAAGCAAAAGAGCTCATAGATACACAGAACAGACTGGCGGTTGCCAGAGGTAGGGGGAAGGCAGGGTGAGAGAACTGGGTGAAGGGTGTCAAAAGGTGAAAAATAATTTTTAAAAAATATTCTGGATCTTCTCTCTTTGAAAAAAAAATAGATCTTATTAACATACTGAAAAGACAAGATATAGACTGGAAGAAAATAATCTGCAAATAATAGAAGCAACAAAATAATAATATCTAAAATTGATTTTTTAAGGAACTGCCAAAAAAATTCAACAGTAATATATCAAACATTAATACCTGTGGGAGATTTCACCTTATAGATTTCATCTTACAGAAAAACTAACAATTTAACTTCCATAATACAATATAGGAATACTAGTATGCATGTGTATGTATGTGTTTACACACAGATAAGAGACAGAGAATGATAGAGACACAAAGACACATACATACCTACACAGAGAGAGATTTATTTAAATGTGTCCATACTGTACTGCTTGAAATAGGGAACATTTTAAATGAACTACATGATCACCAACTGAGAAATGCTCAAATAAAATCTAAAGCACCATGTATCCATTAGAAAGATAAAGGGGGGGGTGTCTCTCTAATGAAATTGAATGCATTACATGATTTGTTTTAATCATAAAAATAGCAGATCTCCAAAATCAGAGCTTATTAAATGAGGTTTCATCCTGCTGGTATTGGTGTAACAGTGTCACAAACCAGAGTATCATAAAGGATAAGAATACTAACTCTAGGACCAGAGTTCAAATCTCAAGACTCCCCACATTCTAACTGCATGGCCTTGAGCAACTCACTTATCCACTCAGTGCCTAAGTTTCCTCATCAGAAAATAGCCAGTACCTACTGCACAGGTTTCTTATGAAGATTAAATAAGCTGAATATAAATAAATCACTTCAAATAATGCCTTGCATAAGAAAGCCTTATATGTGTTTTCTTGTTATTATTATAATTGCATGTAAATACACTGCACTGCCTGGCACATAATAAATGATCAGTAATATCAGTTATCTTCAGTATTATAAACCAGCATTCATTTTAGGCACTGTTTTATTTATCATCTTATGCATATGCATCCTTTTGAGAGACTTTAACATATATTTGTAATAAACCATATATATCAAAAGCAAGGTGGAGAAAACTATGTAATAAATGCAGTGTGACTGATGAAAAAGTTTAAGAAATTATTTGTCTAACAAAGTTAAAATAATTGTTCTTTAAAAACTATGCCTTTCTTTGGATATATGGCATACTGTTTTTTGAGTGACCAAAAATTATCAGGAAATCATTAATAATTCTATCATTTGTTCTGCATCCCAGCTGTGAAAACAAAAGTATATTAGTTACCTACAGCTACTGTAACAAATTACTACAAACTTGATGACTTAAAATAACACAGATTTACTGACATATAACTTTAGAGATCAGAAGTCCAAAAAAGAGTCTTACAAGGCTAGAATCAAAGTTTATTCCTTCAGGAAGCTGCAGGGCAAGTCCACTTCTCTGCCATCCCTAGCTTCTAAAGGCCTCCTCATTCCTGGGCTTCCGGCCCTTTCTTCCAACTTCAAAGAAAATCTCTCCAACATCTCCTTCACCATCACATCTCTTTTTCCCACCTTTGACCCTCTTACCTCCCTCTTTTAAGGACCCCTGTAATTATACCAGGCCTGCCCAGATAATTCAGGATAATCTCCCCATCTCAAAATCCTTACCTTAATTATATCTGCAAAGTCCCTTTTGCTATTGTAGGGTAACATATTAACAGGTTCTGGTAATTAGATATGGAGGTCTTTGAAAACTATTATTCTGTTTAGCATACATGGGTTCCACCAGTGAGATGGAACTTATAAGCAACCTCTGTTCAGGCCATTCTGGCCACACCCTTACTAATATAACCAGCTTCCCCAATCTCAAACCTCAACAGATCAAATTGCTTTTAGAAAAGGATTTTCCAATGGCACTTCTTCTCCTGTTTTGGGGGATGGCAGGACGTCATCAAGCATAACACTTGAAATTTAAAAGCAGTACAGACTATATCATCATCACAATAATCTGAAAAGATAATTTCCATACCTTGTTTTCAGTCACTAACTTAAATTTATACTTATACATGTCAATACTCCCATGCAAACAAGACCTACCCTCACCACACTAACTCCTCACAAAGAACCTTGTAAAATATAGGTGGGCAGTAATGTTTCTTTAATTAAACAAGACTAAAAATAACAAAGTCCCTTTAAAACTCTGTTAAAAATATTTAAATATTTGAAAACATTAAGAAATGTGAAAATAAAACCAAATGCACTTCTTACCATATATAACATATTTCAGTTGAAGATTTGTAATGATTTCTTCCACAGTAGGTTTATATGCAAGGAAGCATGTATAAACACCAGTCATACTCTCCTCAAAGTTCTGGAATACAAGGCTTCCTGTAGATGTTATTTGTGCAGTGCTGTTTTCTAATTAAGGAATATAATATACTCATTAGTTGCTTAAATTATATGAAATTGAGATAAAATATTTTTCTAAGGAGAGTAACACCATTAAAATTTACCTACAGAATCAATGAAAGGAGTTGGGGGCATAACTCATTGTGTCTGATATTTGTTGACAGCAGGTGCAGAATGACGTTCTTAGTGAGAGTTTCACTAACCAGAGTTCACTGGTTGTGTAACTGCCCAAGTGGTAAACTAACATTACACAAATATAATGTGCTCCTAATCTGCTCAAATTGAAATGGACACTATCAAAAACTCATATATAAAAATACAGTATATATTCATACATAGTGTGTGTGTATATCTATACATATATATAATTTCTTGATGACTTATACCCTCAGCTTAAGCTCACAAACTACAAATAAAAGAGATGAAATTGTACCCAGAACAAAAGCTAACCCAATATAATCACTGACAACTAGGGACTTCTTGTCTACACATGATACTAGGCAAAAGTTAGGTTACAACCTTAAAGGTTGAAGAAGAAAGAGAATAGGAAATTACATCACCTTACTTGCCCAAGTCACATAATCACAGAGTTGCAGTATTTAGCATTAGAATCCAATATAAGATTCCTTGTTACTTCAACATGCTGCATTATTTAACGTATCACACTAGGAGAACGCTATGTGGTGCAATGGAAAAGAAATCTGATTTAGAGGCATGAAGACCTGGGTTTGTGTTCTACCTTTCTCTCTCACAGACTATGTAAACCCTGGGGTAATCACTTAATCTTTGGAACTCCTGATCCTTCACATGTAAAACAAAGAACAATATATAATAGCATATCTAACAAGATCGTTTTTGTTTAACAAATCAAAGAAAGTTAAAGTACTTTAAAAAGCTATAAATCATGAAGTAATTCAAGTTGTTATTCTCAAAGTTCATAACCATAGTTTTTCATTAGAAAACTTATTAGATAGTAAAACTCACTTAATATGCCATTCATTAGAATTGAAATTATTTTAGCAAATAATTGTTTACCTTTTTTCCATTTTTAGTAATTTATTACGTATAAACTTCAAGTTTATTATTAATAAGCTCAATAAAAGCATGTTGGGTTTCTAGTACATGCAGAGATTGTATCTATTTCAAATATTGAAGGAAGAAGAAATAGATGGATATACCCATCCTCAAAGAATTTACCCAGGGACTTGTATCTTGAGAAGTTCCATTTCTATACCATGGATAAAGCTGAAAAATATGATATTAAGTTTGGGATATTTTTCTATCATAATGCCTATCTCTTCAAGGATATATTTTGATGGAAGATTATGTATTTATCATAGCATGTCTCCTTTCTAAAACAGATTAACAGGTTTTCGAGTGTTTGCTACTTATTTCAACAGCAACAGAGAAATACTTCATAGTAATAAGATAAAAGGTGTCACTAATTTCAAAGAAATTTTAGACTATCATGTCATCAATGAGGTTATGCATTGCTTGGCAACAATTTGAAATGAAATTTTCCCAAACTAGAGGTATCAATCAGTAAGTGTATTGACATACATTTGAACATCTACTTCAATGTTAAATATTACAAGAGCCAGAAAATCGAGTAAAATATAACCTATAATAAAACACCATCTGAATACCTTCTTATTTTTGAAAAACTAGAAGTGGTGGATTTTGAAAAAATGTCCAAAGGATTTCAAGGATATCACAGCCAACAGAAGAACCCATTCTATAATACCACCTAATAACTTTTAACTAAATGTAAACGGGAATTTCATGATGCCAAGGGATGTTACTATAAAAACACATACAAAAGCAGATTAAATCAATAAATAATTGAATTAAAGTCAGTACTTCTCTAGAAATTAGGTTAATCATTTAAAAATTCAGAGTTGGGCTAGATTTCTAAAAGCCCATGTCTTGGAGTTCTAAAATTATATGGCAAAATTTAAACAAAATTTCATTACAACTTACTATTTCAAAAATAGGTTTATACTGTTAGTTTCTGCTCAGATAAAGAAAGTGAATATAATAGCATTGATCCTACCATTACAATCAGGAAAAGGCAGGCAAACTGTCAATTATCAACTTTTCTTGAACCTATCAAAGTACTGAAGTGTCAGGACAACCAATAAACCTGCAATCTGGGGATAGACAGGCGCTTGCCGGTGGAATGACAACTCAAGCATTTGCTTCACCTTCCATATAAGTCAGAAAGAAGGTTCAGCAAAAAGTTGTAAATGAATTGCTAAGACAAGTATTGACCAGTGTGAGCATGTGAAGCCTCTGAGGATCACATATTTTTCTTTTTGAGGGGAGGGGTTGTACCCTTTTACAGGCTTTACCTTCATGAACACCTCTGGACATTCAAAAGGAAGATTAAGAGAACCCTGAGCAAGATTTCCACCGGGTGCTAGCTAGAGTTCCAGCAGCCCTGCCAAAACCCCACCCACACTCATTTCCCATACCCACTGGCAAGAAATAATGTTTTAATCGACAGGGAGTGAGGAAACAAAAATGACTGCCAAGGGCACTGGGGAAATTTGTTACTGCCCAGGAAGAAACAGGTAATAGAAAACAATGCCTCATCCTTGAGGAAGAGTCAGCAAGAAGGGACAGCACAAAAGCTGGAAGAGGGATTGGAGCACTTACGAAGGCCACATCCCCAAGATCTAGAGACACGGTATCTGCCAAAGACTAAAAATCAGAACATTGAAGACTGTTGATTTCTCCTGACCAACCATCACTAGTGAAAAATCAGTGGAATCAATCTCAGAGAGCTACAAGAGATTCTCTCTGGAGAAATCAATAAAGGAAAAACAAAGCCAAGGAAAGATTAGACACTGGAGAAAAATAACTTCTCATGAACCAGTCTACACCTTAAACATTTTTAAGGGTATCTTAACCTTTCAGTAACGATAGCAACAAGCAGTATCAAACCCAGACAATGACTAGATTAACAGATTCCTAATATTAAAGTTTTAACATAATTTTAAAAAGGTGTTCATCTCAAAGAATAAAAACATTTATCTCAAAATCTACTCTTACTTAGATGTGCAACTTTAACAAAAAATTAGGAGGTTTATAGAAAAGCAAGAAAGTCACATTTCCAAAATAGAAAGAAATATTCAGGGTAAATGACACAACAGACACAGCAGACAGTTAATTTAAAATAACTATGATTAATGTATTGAATGAATTATTGGAAAATGTAGACAACATGCAAAATCAGACAGGTGATTTCAGACAAAGACTGAAACTATAAGAAATAATTAAATGAAAATGCTAGAACTAAAAGCAAAATGAACAAAAAAAGAGAAAAAACCACAGTAACACCATGAAGTATTCCTTCAATGGGCTCATAAAGAGGCTTGACACACAGCTAAGGAAAGAATCAGTAAACCTGAAGATAGGTCCAAAGAAATGACCCACACTGAATCAAAAAGAGAAAATCAAAACAAAACACCACCACCAAGAATTAAGTATCCAAGAGCTGTGGAACAATATCAAAGAGTATTACATGTGTGTCACAGAAATCTCAGGAGAGGAAGGACTGGATGGGGCAGAAGAAATATTTGAAGACATAAAGGCTGAGAATTTTGAAAAATTAATAACAAACACCAAATTACAGATTCAAGAATTTTATAGAACACTACACAGAATTAATTCATAAAACAGAAAGACATGTAATATTTAAATAACTGAAAATGAAAGTCAATGATAAAATCTTGAAGTAGGTCAGAAAAAAGCATGTCTTCAAAGGGACAGGGTTAAGATTATAACAGACTTCTCATTAGAAAGAACATAAGCAAAAATAATACAGAGTATCATCTTTAGAATGTTGAAAGAAAAAAAACTGCCAATCCAGAATTCTACAACCAGCAAGAGAAAGATAAGCAAATTTAACCCAAAGCAAACAGAAGAAAGAATAATGAAAATAAAAGCAGAAATCAATGAAATTGAAAACAGTAAAATACTAGACAAAAATAAATCAAACCAGAAGTCCCTTGAAGACTGATAAAATTGTTAAACCTGTAGCCAAAGAAACCAAAAACGAAAGAGAAAAGCCAATCAATATCAGGAGTGAATTAGGGCACATAATAAAAATCCTGAATATATTAAAAAGATAATAAGAAAATATCACAAACTACTTGATGCACATAAATTTACCAAGTTGAAAATAAAGCTCTAAGTGGAGCAAATTTATTGAAAGACACAAACTACAAAAACTCACAAAAAGATGAGAGGGAAAAATCCTACTCCTAACTCTGTGCTAGATTGTATCTGTGATCCCTAAAGTCAGACTTTCAAAGGCACATACTTCAGGAAAGTATCTCATTCTCTCAATGCCTCTATCTTCCCATATATAAATGGCTTACTTATTGCAAAGATCTGTTATAAATTTTAAATGATTAGTATGTATAAGTTGCCTAAAATCATATCTGATACATGATAAATATTGTATAAGGGCTTGTTACTATTTTTATAAAATTCAAAATGAAAACAAAAATACAATCTTTCGAATACACATGTATGCATATTTACATATATGGTTTTTATGTGTATATATTTTTATATATGATAAATGCATACAGAAAAGCTAGGGAATAATGTTTAGGGTATTTTTTACTGACAGGAGGTTGTGGATAGAATGGTGTTTTTAAATAGCTTATTGGGAGAGTCGACAGTCTTGGTAATGGTGTATCTTGTCTTGTACAGCAAGTTCAAGAATGTTTGCTTTATTGTGCTTCATAACTTGCACACATCTTACATGTGTACATATCAAATGCTTCAAAATAAAAAATAGTAAGGTGCAGTAAAATATCATCTATAATCTAATTTAAAAACATACTAAGAGTGTATTTACAGGGTAAAGGCCAACGTAAGTGTGTACACTCACTTATATAAGTTTGTATGAACATTTAGGAAAGTGGGAAAATCCACACACCAAAAAGATTTAGTTCCTCAGAATGGCATTAGGGTTGGAATAAGAGGTACAAGTCTTGTGATAAATGCACTACCTTTGTAAATCAAAAATACTGAAATAGAGGCAGAGGGAGAGAGAGGAAGAACAAGAGGGAAAGAGAAAGGAGCAGGGCTGGAGAGAGAGACAGACCACAGCTAAGACTCGTTCCTACAATTTACAGCCCATCCAAACAATCTGAGTATTTCTCTCCAAAGGAATGTGCAAGTAATGACATAATCACATGACTTCTTTGGTTCAATTTAAAGGAAACTATCTATGTAACATTCATAAAAAGATTACTACAGTATAGCTTAATCTGGAGTCTAAAAAGGTTCTCTGTTTTTAAGGCTTTAAGAAAATTAGACAGTATTTTCCAATTCTTTCTGCAATGACAGTGATAATAGAACTATTGAGCTTTAAAACCAGTACACACTGAACTATAATGTGACACTGTACTGAAATGAAAATATAATCACCATACCCGAATACCAGAACTTCCTGGAAATAGTTTTTACAAATATAAACACCATTATATTAATCTGATTTTATCCTTACCTGGAAATAACTACATTCTGAACATCTATTTTCCATTACGAAAATGAGTACAATAAAATATCACTCCTAGTTAAACGATTCAAGATTCAATTATACACTATACTTTGCGATGTAAATTGCAGGACCTCACATGGCACACCCTCACATTTATTAGAAAGGAAAACATTTCATATTTTAATTTCCAAAGCAAAGGAAAAACAAATTACAAACAACTCATTACTTACATGTTTCTATTTCTGAACTTTCGGAGTTTCAATAGCACATGTAAAATATATTAAATATAGAGGTTTGCATTACATTATGTGTTATCAGAGAGCAATAAAAATAAAATGTCATTATATTTTCAGTATTGGATGCTTTTTATCTGGCCCATTTCACTGATTTATATTAACTGCCCAACCTCTTAAGAGTTTCTGTTACTGACCTCTGCTGATTCATTCCTACTACATTATTATAGTCAGGCAGAGGTTGTCTGATTTTTGTACCTCCCACAAGATCTAGCATAATGGCATCCACAAGTAAACACACACTGAGAGCTGCATAATTCACTTTGAAGAGCCACCAACTAACCTAAAGAGTGGAGTAACTTTAAACTTTGAGCTGTTTTAGAATCAACATAAACATTACAGAAATGTACAGCTGAGATCAACTATATAAAAATATTAAAACATATTACAAAAAAAGTATTCCCTGTGAATGTTTCTTCAGCAATCTTTGTATGACTATACTGCTTTCCTCCACAAGATAACAAAATAAACCTGTAGGTTTTCATCCACAGGCATTATCTCAAAATACCAAAAAGAGTTAAAAAAAGAAAAGAAGGAAAGAAAACATGCTGAATAGAGCACTAAAGAAAAACTTCCTCAGAAGGTACACAAAAATGATTAGGTGAACATAGAACAGATTTTTAAGGTGAAAATTCATTACTCTGGATTTTTAGCAAGGCTGAAAACAAACACAGCTAAGTTAATTAATATTTTTAAAACCACTGCAAAAATGAATCAGCTTCTAGCAAATGAAAAATTAGTATAAAATATATGCATTTCAAAATGAAAAAATGAGAAGCTTAGTGGAGAAAAATTAATCAAATCAACCACACCAATAGTAATCTTTATGTAGGAAAAAGTGCCTTCATGGCAATAAGATCTTGTTTTCCCAAAAATGTGAAAGCTGTAAGGATACCATTCAGATATGCTTCCAGTCCATCTTCTGTGGATGAATACCCATGGGCACAGCATCCATAATATGTTAATACACAGCCACTGTCAAGGCAGGCAGATATTTCAAAGCATGGTTTTGATATTAAAATGTTATGTATTAAATTTAGTCATTCTTTTCAAAATGGACAATAATATTTAAGTTAAATTCAAATATCATATTATCTGGTCAGAATTTTGGTCAGAAAGAAATATAAGATCAAAAAATATAAAATTGTAACTAATAATCTCAGATTGTCATGTGGGGCTGTATAAAAAACAAACCATATCTATACACCTATAACTTAAAGTGCTCATTTGCATTTTAAAAAAACTCAAAATCATATTTACTTTTTCATACACACTTTAAGTCTGATTGAAGTAACTAAAATGAATTCATGAACTCCTCAAAAAAGTAACATTTGGGGGCATATAGATGCCTAAAGACTCTCCTAACAATTCAATCTAGTGTGTCACTATCTCATATTTAGACATCTCATATTTAGATCTGTAAAAAATGTTCATATCATATATGTTGTTAGATTCTAACTCCACAAAGAAATCATAAGAGAAAGAAGTGAGGAAGTGGATAAAAGTGAAATACAAATATTCTTTTTGTCCTGAGTACATTTCAGATACACCAATTTAATTATGAAAGTTGAAATAAAATCCTACCTGAAATAATTTTTCCTTTTGGCCCGTGCCATTGGAATGTTGGGTCTATCATTTCATAATTTCGCAGTTGCTGGGTTACACAAAGCACATGTGGACTCTTTTGATGGAGCATGACATATACTTTCACTGAAAATACAATATTAAAATGTTCCAGTAATATTTTATGTTCTCTCATGATTTAAAATGCCTTACATCTTTGTAGTTTCAGTTACATTTTTCCTAAATTTCTTTGGATTATGGCTATCACTTGATAAGAACTTAGTTTTCATTGCATTCCATGTAACTAACACTCAAAAATACATTGTTTTATTTGGGTGAATGAGTATATCTCAATCTGAGCAGAATGCATTGGTCTTTTTTTATGCAGAGTTCATGTAGACTAACTTATTTTACCGGCAGAATATTATTTTAAATACAAAATAGTAAGATGATTCCATATCCAGACTATATTTGTTTTACAAAAATGCCAAACCTGAAAGAGATTGATAAAATAAATTTGTTTAGATTAGAGGAATAATACATTTCACAATGATGTAACACAATGTACTGAATTAAAAAATTATGTGATTAACATAAACAAATATGCATTTTTATTTTAATTGTTAAGCATTTTTTTCCCACTTCACTTTAAAATTTAAAGAATCCTGCTCATTAGCCAAGCAAAAAAGTATTCTTTAGTATACAAAAGGAACACAAAAAGGATCCACTTGTTTTGAATTTAGTCCTAAGTAACTTTTTGGAAAAGGTTCTGACAACTCCTTAGTAATTGCATACTTCACTGATTCAACATGTAAAAAGATTTCCATGATGCAGTAAAATAAAATTTGTTTAAAATAAAAATTTTTCTTAACTTTAAAGAGACTGTCTCTAAAGTTTCACCCATGAGGTGAAAAGACAGCAGGAGGTTTATTAAATGTAGCTTTTATACTGATCCTTACTGAGGTTAAGACAGTACCCTCAATTCTTGTTTATTTTGTTTTTATCATAAGTTGCCATTGAGTCTTAACAAATGATTTTTCTATATTGATCATTTATTTTTTCTACTTGAATACTTTAATGGTATGCTCAAAAATACTAAATAATGCTTTCCTTGAGTAATTTTAATTGAACATACTCTTTTACTTAAACACTGTTGGATTCAGTTTGCAAATATTTTTCCTCGATATTTGGCACCTATATTCATAAATGTAACTTACAATTTTCTTATCCTATCCTTCATACTTTCCAAATTGCAATTTCAATTTCAAGCTTGTTATTTAATATATTACTAAGGTAGATCACTAAGGTCATAATAGCCATATAAAATGAAGTGGACAGATTTTCTTCTATAAATTTTCTGTGAAAAAATATGTAAGGTATTTGGTCCTTTGAAAATTGTATCACCTGTTGTTTTTTCTGGGTTTTTTTTGGCAAGGAGCGTATGAGGAAAACAAATTTTTGATTACCAATCAGGAGAATTTAATTGATTATTAGCTTACTAAGTACTTTAATCAAGTCTGTGTTAGAAATTTACATTTTACTAGAGTTATTAATTTCTAATTATTATAAAATAAATCAGAATTTTGCTATGATTTTAAAATTTCACTTATCTTTATTCATAACATTTTTTTCTGTTCACTATTCTCTCATGAAACACTTAAAAGTTTGTCTACTAATTGTTCTAAAGACAGCTTTTGATTCCATTTAACCTATTATTCTCTGGTCACTTTATTACTTCCTATTATTTCTCTCTATTTACTCAATTTAAATTTCTCTTCATTTTTCTAACTTCTTTAATAAATGCTATGTATGCAATTGTCACCCCTCAGTATGATTTACTAGGCTTCTCTCCATGATCTGTCTTACATATACCTTATTTCCTCTCTTTCCACATAAGTATCTAAACACCTTCTCAACTCAGCATAAGCATATCCTTTCTGCTCTGGCTCTGAAAGCCTGAATATCCCACACCATTACTGTTGTGCCCTTTCTCTAGTTCCCACTAACCTCTGTACATATTTAAATAATAGAAAATATAAATGAGTCAGAAGAGTTTCCCAATGCAAGATCAACACAGAAAAATAAACAGCACTCGGTATCAACAATGCATTAAACATGTAATAGCAAAGAAGAAACATTTAGAAGACAATAAAGAAAAGTTAGTTAATATGTAATCTAACAAGATCACTGTGGGGAACATGTTCAATTTCCTACAAAAGATATACATTAGATCAAGATGCCATAGTCATGACAGTGTAATTTTAAAGATGCCAATTTATCCCCATATTGATGTAATAATAATCAATATAAGCAAAATCCCCGAAGAGGTTTTAAAGAAATTCTTGAATACTGATTCTTAAATATATTTGGAAAATTAAATGTTGATAAATAGCTAAGACAATTCTATAAAGAAAAAGAACAAGCATTAAAAGATATTAAGATAATTACAAAGTTGCACTAATTAGAGTGTTCTATTGTAGGAACAAAGAAGAGTAGGTGGGTCTAGGGGGGAAAAACATTAAAAACTACTACATGATACAGTGTTATCACTCTTCAGTTAGATCACTAAAGAAAATACAGATTACTAATATCATGTTTAATAATTATCTCAATATATAAACAATATTCAATACCTCACACCATATATAAAAAATAAATCCCACATAGACTAAAGATCTAAAGGCAATCATTATTTTTTTTATTAAAGTATCATTGATATACAACTTATGAAAGTTTCACATGAACAACATTGTGGTTTCAACATTCACCCATATTATCAAGTCTTCACCACCGCCCCCACTGCAGCCACTGTCCATCAGCATAGTAAGATGCTATAGTCATTACTTGTCTTCACCATGCTATACTGCCTTCCCTGTAACCTATCTATATTGTGACAAAGGCAATTGTTACTCAAAGCAAATGTAAAATAACACCTTTATGTCTTTGGGATACAGAAGGATTATTTTAATGCAAAAGGCACAAACATAAAAAGAAAAATACTGAACTCCATTCCTTAAATATTAACAGTATCTGTTCAATGCTACACAACATAGGCAAAGTTAACATCTGGGACAAAAAGCATGATCAATTTGACATCTGGGAGAATATAATTGCAGCAAAAATAATCAAATGGCTTTATAATTGGAATATAAATAATTTGAAAGCAACTCCTTTGAAAACAGCAAGAATGTGGTAGGCCAAGGTAACTTATCTTTCAGTTTAGCAAAAACAGAAGACTTGAATAATACTCCATGCTGGTGAGGATGCGGGAAAGCACCATTGATGGAAGTATGAACTGATGCAGCCACTTTAAAGAGCGACTTCAATGAAATTGAGCATGACAGTGCGCCTCCACCCCAGATAAAATGGACCCAGAAAACTTCTAAACAGGTATAAAGGGAAATACACAAAATGGTATTCACACACACAAGAAAATGGAATGAACTGAAACAAAGATGCAAATAACTGATTACTGAATAAGTGGATACATGAATGAATGAAAACAAAGAATCAGGGGAACAGAAAAGCATAAGTAAAAGGGGAACAAGTTAAAGACAGAGCACAGAATAGAAAAATGGCTGACACAGATAGATTCTGGGAGCTTGTATGACAGAAGAAGCTGAAGAAATTCCTGGCAAGAAAAATCAGGCACTCAACATTTTTTAGAGGCACAACTAATAAAATACCATATAACAATCTATTTTGTAACACATGAAATACATTCTGCTGAAATGTTAATCCACTTTTGAGAATAAATTTAACCATGTCCAAATACAAGGAAATTAGTTATACACACAACTGTCTTATAATTTATGTTTAAAACAAAAGTTGTGATACTAGTGCAAATGGCAGAGTAAGGAACTCTAAAAATCATCGCCTTCATAAAGACAATGAAAAAATGGCAGAAATTGCTGGAATCAACATTTTCAGAACTCTGGAAATTAATCAAAGACTTGCAACAATGCAGGAAAAATTTATTCAAGGAAAATAACTGAATCTCCATGTGATGGGTTGAATTATACCTTTCCCCAAAGTCATATATTACTCCCTAACCCCTAGACATCAGCCTGTGAACTTATGTGGAGAAAGAGTCTTTACAGAAATAAGTTAAAATGAGGCATTATGGTGGGCCCAAGTCCAGCATGACTGGTGCCTTTTTAAGAGGGTGAAGTTTGGACACACAAACAAATACAGATGGAAAACAATGTGGAAAGACATGAGAAGATGCATTTCTACAAGCCAAGCCAGGAGAACTGGATCAGATCCTTCCCTCACAACCCTCAGTAGGAATCAACCTTGCCTCATGATTGGATTCCTAGCCTCTAGAACTGTAAGACAATACATTTCTGTTGTTTAATCCCCTCAGACTGTGGTGCTAGCAAACTAAAATACCTGGTAGGAACAGTGAATTTTTTAAGGTGCCCCATTCCCATCTCCCCTCCCCAGCTCTGCAAGGAGCCATGTAAATCAACATGCCACTATCACTACAAGAACCAGCAGCCTGGCAGCCACTAAAGGCCCAGACAGGGTTGAAGGGCCTTCAATTCCTCCTTGCCAGAGAACTGTCCTTGTTTGACCTTCATGGAAGTTTCCTGAAAGATACCCCTCACAAGGCTGTCTTTACTTGACCTAACTTAGAGCACACCCTCTATGAAAAGCCTTTTCCCCAAAGGTATTTGTCAAAAACAACCAGTGGCTTTCACTGAACTGTAACTGCCTGATGCAGTAGGTAACAGCTGGGATAAACATCAAGCTGAAAGTTTAGGAGAAAAAGCTGAGAAATAACATATCCATTGAGAAGTTCTGACATATACCTGGGAAAATAGAAAGCCACATGCATGCATGCGGCAGGGCACATGGCCAAGACTGGTCATGCTCAGTAAAGACCAAGAGGCCTTAAATTCTCACGGTGGGCTGAAACTGAGGCTCTGCACAGCAGAAAGTGAAGGATAAAGCAGATAGATTGTCAGCTGCCTGGCTAAATGTTTAAAGCCTGCCACAATAAGCACAAGAAAACCCCCAGCAAAGACAAGGAGACAAAACAATTTTAGGTGTTTAATGAAATCTTCACCCTAAGCGAACTGAGTAGAGACTTTTGTGGCTACACATGACAAACAACACAGAATTTTAAAATTAGTTCAGAAGAGTCACTAAACAAACAATAACAACAAACATTAGCAACATCAATATCTGGGAAGGAGGAAGAGTCTGATTTCTAGAGTTGCTACATTATATTACTTTAAAAGTGCAGTGCTCCACCAAAAACATGACCATGCTAATTTAGAGTATGAAAAGAATGTCTTTCCAAATAGGGACTATAAACAATGAGAAATTATAAAAAGAATCAAAAAGAAACTCTGGAGAAAAAAGTACAATAACTGAACTGAAAAATTCACTATAAAAAATCAAAAGCAGATCTGAGCAGGCAGAAAAAAAGAATCAGCAAACTTGATGTTAGATTAGTTTGGGACTATCCAATCCAAGAAACAGAAAAAAATATAAAAAATAAATGAACAGTACACAGAGACCTATGGGAAACCACCAGTCATACCATATACATGTGTATACTTGACACATCACATATATATATATATATATATACACAGATACATATTTCATATATATAATGAAAGTTCCACAGAAGAGTAGAGAGAAAGGAAGAGAATATTTGAAGAAACAATGTAAAACTTTCCAAATTGATGAAAAGCATGAATCTACACATCAAAGAAGCTCAATGGAGTCAAACTAGGAGAGAATCAAGGAGATGCACATCACAATTAACTGTCAAAATCCAAAAACAAAGACAGAATCTTGAAAGCAGTGAGAAGCAATTCATTACATACCCATGATTTTCAGTGAAATTAGTTCCTCACCAGAAACCATAATGAAATAAAAAGTCTACATAGACCTAAAACAAGTAAAGAGATTGAATTAGTAATCAAAACACTTCCCACAAAGAAAATCCCAGCATCAGGTGAATTCACTGGTGAATTTTACAGAACAAGTAAAGGAGAATTAACAACAATATTTCACAAACTACTCCAAAAATAGGAGCAGTGGGAACATAACCCAATACAATCTATGAATCCAGTATTACCCTAAAACCAAAATCAGAAAAAGACAATGCAAGAAAACTAAAGACAAATTTCCTTTACGCATGCAAACATAAAAAGCCTCAAAAACTATCAACTGAATCAAGTAGCATGAAAAGGCATTATACATCACAATCACTTGGGATTTATCCCAGTAATACAAAGGATAGTTCAACATACAAAAATTAATCAATGTAAACCATACAAAACTACTTAATCATCGCAATATAAACAGAAAAAACATCTGACAAAATCCAACACCCTTTCACAATAAAAGCAATCAACAAACTAGGAACACAGGGAACTTTCTCAATCTGGTAAAGGGCACCTACAAAAAGCTTACAGCTAACATTATACTTAGTAGTAAAGACCAACTCCCCCTACAATCAGGAATAAGATAAGGATATCTGATGTCATCCACAGGAAATTGGAGGTTTTAGCTGGAGGAATTGGCAAGGAAAAAAAACAGGCAATCTGATTGGAAAGGAAGAAATAAAACTCTCTCTATATTTGCAGATGACATGATATTAGACGTAGAAAATCCTAAGGAATAGCTCCCACACTCATACTTAAATAAAAAAAGGGAGCTAATAAGTTATTCAGCAAGATGACAGCACACATCAATCTGCATAACTTAATGGCATTTCTATACAATAGCAATGAGCAATCCAAAAACTATACTAAAAACTATTATTTTTACAATAAAAGGAATAAAATATTTAGGAATAAATTCAACAAAACAAGTGTAAGACTTGTACACTAAAAACTACAAAACAACAGTGAGGGAAATTAAAGAAGATCTAAATAAATGGAAAGTCACTCCATATTCATTAATTGGAAGACTTAATATTGTTAAAGTGGTAATACTATTTGTGCGTGTGTGGCTTAAAATAATAGAAATTTATACTCTCACAGTTCTGGAGGCCAGATATTCTAAATCAGTATCACCAAACTGAAATCAAGGTGTTGCAAGGGAAAGTGGTAATCCTCTTGAAATTGATTTTCAGATTCAATGCAATCACTATTACAATTCCAATGGGTTTTCTGCAGAAACTGACAGGTTGATTCTAGAATTAATCTATTCTGCAGGGGACCCAGAATAGTCAAAACAATCTTGGGGAAAAAAAGCATATTTGAAGAACGCAAGAGTCAATGATTTCAAAACTTACTGTAAAGCAACAGTAATCAAGGACAAAAATATAGAATAGAATTTAGAGTCCCCCCAAAAAACCTATACATCTATGGCAAACTGCTTTTCAGCAAGACACCAAGACAATTCAATAGAAAAAGAAAAGTCTCTTCAACAAATGCTGAAACAACTGGATACTCACATGCAAAAGAACTAAGTTTGACCCCTACCTCATACCACATGCAAAAAAATAATTCAAAATGGATCCAAACCCTAAATGTAACAGCTAAAACTCTGCAATTGTTATAAGAAAACATAGGAATAAAACTTTGTGATTGTTAATCGGCCAATCAGTTCTGAGATAATGACATCTAAAGCAGCAGTACTAAGAAAAAGTAAGATATTAGACTTTATCAGAGTTTAAAATGTGTGCTTTAAAAGTATTCTATTTAAAAAGTGAAAGTATACTCCACAGAATGGGATAAAATATTTGAAATCAATTATCTCACAAGGGTCTCATATCTAGAATTCATTAAAAAAAAAAACTCTTCCAATTTAATAATAAAAAAGATAATCCAAATTAAAAAATGGGTAAAAGACTTCAGTAGACATTTCTGTAAAAAAAAAAACTCTTCCAATTTAATAATAAAAAAGATAATCCAAATTAAAAAATGGGTAAAAGACTTCAGTAGACATTTCTGTGAAAATAGTATCCAAACATAGCCAATAAACACATATAAAGAGGTTCAACATCATTACATTTTGAGGGAAATGCAAATCAAAATCCACTTCGCATATAGTAGGATGGCCATAAACAGAAAAGATGGACAACAACAAATGTTGGAAAAGATAGCGAGAAATTTAAACCCTCATTCTTTGCCTGTGTGAAAAGAAAATAATTCAACCTGTTCAGAAAATAATATGGCAGTTCCTCAAAATGTTACCATATATTCTAGCAATTTTACTCCTCTGTACATACCCAAGAGAATTGAAAACATATGTTCACACAGAAACTTGTGCAGGGATATTCATTATTTGTGCAGGCATTATTCATAATAGCCAAAAAGTGGAAAACACCTAAATATCCATCAACTGATAAACAAACTGTAGTATAGCCATACAATGGAATATTATTTAGCCATAAAAAGGAATGATGTTTTATAAAAGCCAAGAAATGGAAGCTAAGTGTCCATCAGTAGATGAATGGATAAAGAAGATGTGCTACATATACACAATGGAATACTATTCAGCCATAACAAAGAAACAAATCCTACCATTTGCAACAACATGGATGGAGCTAGAGGATATTATGCTCAGTGAAATAAGTCAGGCAGAGAAAGACAAATACCAAATGATTTCCCTCATTTGTGGAGTATACCAACGAAGCAAAACTGAAGGAAGAAAATGGCAACAGACTCACAGACTCTAAGAAGGGACTAGCGGTTACCAAAGGGAGGGGTGAAGGAGGGAAAAGCGAATTGAAGGGTATCATGATTAGTGCACATGGTGTGTGTGGGGTCATGGGGAAGACAGTGTAGCACAGAGAAGACAAGTAGTGACTCTGTGGCATCTTACTAAACTGATGTACAGTGACTGCAATGGGGTATGCGGTGGGACTCGATAATAAGGGTGAATGCAGTAAAACACAACTGTTTTTCTTGTGAAACATTCATAAGATTGTATATCAATGATACCTTAATAAAAAAATGGAATGAAGTACTAATAGATCTATCTTGGGAACAAACCTCAAAAATATTATACTAAATAAAGAAGCTGGACACAAAATGCCAGATGTAGTGTATGATTCCCCTTATATGAAATGTCCAGAATAGGCAAATTCATAGACAAAAAGGAGATTAATAGTTGCCAGGGGCAGAACAGTGATTGCTTAATGAATATGGTGTTTCTTTTGGAGTAATGAAAATATGAGATTACATAGTAATAATGGTTGTACAATCTTGTCAATACAGTAAAAACTACTGGATTGTACACTTTAAAGGAGGATTTTAAGGCACGTGAACTCAGAGCAATAAAAAAGTACAAAAGAAGTTGTAGTTGCCATGCCTGATGGGACACTGCAAAATCTTATCCATCCAAACTCTTCGTGATACATAGATCTCATCTGAAAAAGTTTTGGCATATTTGAACTGTATGCATTTAATATTATGGTTAATTATTACATAATAATAAAAATACTATTGTCAACTTCACTTAGGTAAGTCTTAAAATAATTTTTTCTTGTACACTTACACAGTTAGGGCAAAGAGTATTAGACCTGGGTGAATGTAACTATACGAAAACAACCTTAACCCATTTCCAAAAGGGCCTTAGGACACTAGGATAACTGGGGAAATTAGCTTTTTGGAAAAGATTGATAAAAATTAAACAAATGTTTATTACTTTCTTAAAATTAACAAAAATCTATTTGTTAATACCTGGATGATCTGACGATCCCACTATTTTCACCAAATCTTGGGTCAAGTGAAAAGCTCTTGGTAATCGAACCAAATATCCAACTATAAAAAACAAAAAGAAATGATCAACACTCTGCCTCATTAGAAATTCCAAGATATTTAAATAGTAAAGTATGGTAGTATATTTGATCTTGGTTGAAGGGGAGAACCATAAATCAATGTCCTCTGACATCTGGTATCTCTGTTCCAACTCTACTCCCCTCATATGTTCCCATGAAACTAATCTACCCACTGCTTCACCCTTTTATATTTCACCTACTGCTTCTTCTACATCCACTTAGAACACTTCCTTGCATTTTAAAAGTCCATTTATCTCCCAGCCTTCAAGACCCAAATCACAAGTTCCTCCTCCTTCAAACATGTTGCTTGTCCTTAGCACTTTTACCTTCCAAAGTACATCATTACCACCTCTTATAACACTCCCTTTACACTGTATTATAGTTCTTTATGAACATATATAATTTTCCCTATAAGACTATAAGCTCCATTGATAGTAAGAACAATGTTAATGCCAACTTAAGAATCAGTACCAAGCATTACACTTTGTACATAGCAAATAATAATAATTACACACGATATATTCTGATATTCTTCATTGTTGAATATGAAAACATGATGGACATAATAGTGTGCACAGAACAAGTGGTAGCAATAATATATAAATAAATACCCAATAAAGCACATACCCAAATAACCTTTAAGAGAGAGGGTGACAAGCACAAAGAAAAGAATGTCATAACCAAAGGCATAAGACCTCTGTTAAAATCCTAATTACCACTTACTGATCTTAGGAAAAGTCACTTTAAACTTTAGGAACTTCAGTTTTCTCATCTGCAAAATGGGACCAACTTTCAGATTTAGAGTTATTGTAGGAACTGACTGGAATATTGTATAAATTATAAATGCTTTATAAACATCAGTCTTTACTATTCATAGCTTACATATTAATATATTGCCTGCTTATTCTATTTCTTATACCAGCTGATGTGATAACACACCCTATCAAATCTAGTGTAAGACCATGGGCTATGGTCAAGAAGGTACTTCTCCCAGGGCAACTGAAGGTAACTGGCTATTCTTTACTTAAGCTAGAATGATCTTGGGACTCTGATGTCTAGACTCTGCTCATCTTATAATGTCTATTCACTCTTATTTCTTTCTTTTCTCCTCATTACCCCATGCCTATCTACACAACCCTTCTACATTTATATTCTTGGAAGACTTCTCATTTTCTCCTTATTTGAATAATTTTTTTAAATCATTTAAACAAATCGTTGTGCTTTGTATTACTCTATTCTGGGAGAGACTTTTTCGTTTTTTTAAAATTTGAGCACAATGCGGTCAACACCTTTCTAGTTAAATTACAATAGCTTCAACTATCACTTCAGTGTTTGTTCACTAGTATCTTAACTATAGTTTGAAAACAGGATGAACTCTTGAATACAAAGGAGGAAACATGGCACGGCAAAATGTCGAAACTTTAAAATCCCAGGCTTGCCTGTGTTTCATAGCTAAAACCAACAGATGGAGCTCCAGGACCACGGAAAATTACAAAGTGGGACGCCTACTCATTTTGAAGTACATTGAAATACTGAGCACAGCGCTTCATGTAAAGCTGGCAAATGGCCCAGGGACTGATTAGGGAATTTAACAGCCCATTTAACTGCAGAGCTTGGACTGTGGATCTTTTATTGACCTCCTCGGTCTAAACGTTATTTAGTTTCCGCAGTCATCTGCAGCCTTACGTAAATGTAGGTTCCCAGGCCGGGCTCCCAGGGCAACACACCCCTCCAGACAGCTAACGGCGGAGCACAGCGCGGCTTTACATCAGCGGGTGCACGTGACTCAGAGACGCCAATCTGAGAGCCGGGGCTCTAGGGGCCGGCGCGGCGGCACGGCCGCCTCACCTGACGTGGGCTCCCGCCCGACTAAGGCGGACAGTAGGAAGACCACCGCGGCCCGGGAGAGCTGGAAGCGCGTGGACCGGGTCTGCCGCCAGCACCGCCGCGCCCGGCCTGGGGCCGAGGCCGCCATCCACACGCCGCCACCACCTACCAACCGTGAGCGACAGGAGGGTCGTTACACGGTGCGCGCCCACCTACCCACCGGAAGTTGGACGGTGGGCCGGAAGGGCGGGTCCGCACTTCTGCCGAGGCAGGGGCTGGGCTGTGCCGTGGCCGCGTCCGCACGCGAGCGACCTTGCTCGAGGAGCGTGCTGCTGCCTCCTGTGCGGAGGATCGGCCGGGCCTGCGGGACTACGCTGCCACTTGGGGAAGCCCGCAGGGCACAAGCGACCGGCCAAAGATTCTGAGCTCACCGATGGTGGGCGGCCGTGTGCTGGGCTGACAGCAGCGAGTTGGGACGAGTTCCCACTCATACAGACTCATGGTCGCCTACTTCTATCCCATCAGCCACGAGTACGTTGGGGACATCTAGGACTCCGTGGGCGAATAAACGCAATGCGCAGCAAGTGGAGTAGAAAATAAGGCCTTTAGCCCTGGAAGAGGCCTTGTGGGAAGAACAGCCTGCGAAGAAATTTGACTTTCACGCAGCACTCATCCTGGAAGTTTATATGCTGTCACTTATGTTCAGAAAAACATATCAAAGCACCTATCAGCCTTAATATCTTAAAGAGGGCGTTTATAGCCAAAACACTAAGTTAAAGAGAATCTTGCCTCTGTTTTTCCACACCTGGAAGGATATACGACGATAGTAATGAATTGTATGCAGTTAATGCCAACACCTTGAAAGAATGAAGGTTTAAGCAGCTGCAGACAGAATACCTAATAACGTGCATTGTCATGTTCAGTAGGAAGAAATGAGTGATCCTGACTGGATTCAAAACCGTCACTGGACATACTGTGCTCTACGAGAGATTTCTCCCTGACAGCCAAACCACCTAATTCAACCACCACCCTTGTTCAGTGGTACATCTCAAAGACTTAGCCTGTAGATGTATTCTGGTTATGCCACAGATACCACCCTTGCTGCCTTACTGCTAGCCTGATTTGTGTATTAGGAACAGCCTGGCTCTCTAAAGCTAGGATCTTACCTGTTTTGCCACCATTTTAACCTCAACTCCTAGGATAGTACCTGGCATACAGTAGGCATCAAATAGGCATAAATTTTGAAAAGAGAGAAGAGGAAGGAAAGAAAGAAAAAAGAATGGAGGAAAGAAGAAAGGGAAGGAAGCAAAGGAAAGGAAACAACCATATTTATTTAAAAGGATAAAAAGGTTTCAAAGTATGAATTTTTCTCATACTGAAAAGACACAGGGTTAACTGTTCAGAAAGTGTTCTACAGGCATCCCAGCCTCCCTGTGAGAATAGCAAATGACCTCCAGAAAGCAAATGGCAGAATACCAGTGCATAGCAAAGATGGGAGGGATTCAAAGAGACCAAGTAAAAAGGTGCCAGCACAGAAAAAAACACTTTCTTGATTGCTTTCTTCTAATGTTTACCACTTGGAATGCTACAAAAGATCCTCTCAGGGGGTTGACCCCACACTTTTTAAAAAAATACGTACCGATTGAATAAATTTCCTTGAGGCTTTTAAAAGATAGGAGGGGGAAGGGATTGATAGGCTGTCTTGCTGTCCACAAAGATACCGGAAGTGTTGGCTGAAGCTCAGCCAAAACTAAAAGTCAACAGCAGTTAGGAGCCTTTCCTAAGGCAACACTTGCTCTCCCAGGTGGTGCTTCACCACAGCTCATGTTTTTGTCCGTTACATCACCAAACTCTCCAAATCTGTATCTGAGCCTTTCATTCATATTTCGATGTGTGCTAAAATAAACAACAAAAACTCTACCTTATTTAAAAAAAATATGACAGCCTTCATACCATTCTATTTTTCCCTTTGTAATTCTCTTCTGTAAGGTTTTGTTTTCAGCTCAAACTTTAATTGTTGCTAGAGAAATGTTTCTTAAGGTGGGATCCAATAATTAGTAGCATCAGAATTGTCATGGGAACTGGCTTAACCTGCTGATTCCTAGACCCTGCCCCAGAACTGGTCTAGTTAAGTCCCTTCCACAATTTGAGACCTTCTTGGTTAAAAAAAGAAGACCTTAAAAACTTGAAGTCTCGGGATAGCACGAGCAGGGTCTGTTTCTTGTTCATCTGTAATCTCTCCAAATGCCAAGTAGCTTTGCATGTAAGAGGCAAGCAATAATCTTTTTTTGGAGAAGTCCTTGGTTCTCAATAATAAACTAAATTGAAATATCTACATATTCCTTGAGTTTTATGGCTATACTTATTCATGTGTTGTTTGCTAATTTGTATACAGTATGGTTTATTCCACTAAGTAGATTTACTTCTTCAGAAATTCTAATCAATATAAAGTTCCATATAGAATTAGTTTGGTCTGATCAAATATGTTATAGTAAAGAGCAACCTGAATTATTTGCATCTAGGCAGCATTTTGGTCAAGACGGTTCAGTTCCTTGAGCATGTTTAGTAAACATACATTTTACTGAGTAGTGCCCATCATTGTGTTTATCTACGTATGTAACCTGCTAAAGCACCTCTTAATTTTTATAAACAGTGAACCTGCACAATAAGATTTTTACCAAATGAACTTTTTTGAACTTCCAGTGAATTAAGGTGGGGGTACTGTTCAGATCATGTTAAATCCTGTAATCTTTGCTTTCTCTCATCAAGAATTTGCTTAAGTTTATCAGTCTCTCTTGCCTTGGTCTACTGTGTAAATTGGTAATTTTAAACCTGAGAATAGGATGTAATATTTGAGATATTAGTTAATGTGGTGTGATTCTAGAGTGCAGAACTGCTTGCTGAAAATCAAAAAGTAGGTCTCTAGGATAGCACGAGCAGGGTCTGTTTCTTGTTCATCTGTAATCTCTCCAAATGCCAAGTAGCTTTGCATGTAAGAGGCAAGCAATAATCTTTTTTTGGAGAAGTCCTTGGTTCTCAATAATAAACTAAATTGAAATATCTACATATTCCTTGAGTTTTATGGCTATACTTATTCATGTGTTGTTTGCTAATTTGTATACAGTATGGTTTATTCCACTAAGTAGATTTACTTCTTCAGAAATTCTAATCAATATAAAGTTCCATATAGAATTAGTTTGGTCTGATCAAATATGTTATAGTAAAGAGCAACCTGAATTATTTGCATCTAGGCAGCATTTTGGTCAAGACGGTTCAGTTCCTTGAGCATGTTTAGTAAACATACATTTTACTGAGTAGTGCCCATCATTGTGTTTATCTACGTATGTAACCTGCTAAAGCACCTCTTAATTTTTATAAACAGTGAACCTGCACAATAAGATTTTTACCAAATGAACTTTATTGAACTTCCAGTGAATTAAGGTGGGGGTACTGTTCAGATCATGTTAAATCCTGTAATCTTTGCTTTCTCTCATCAAGAATTTGCTTAAGTTTATCAGTCTCTCTTGCCTTGGTCTACTGTGTAAATTGGTAATTTTAAACCTGAGAATAGGATGTAATATTTGAGATATTAGTTAATGTGGTGTGATTCTAGAGTGCAGAACTGCTTGCTGAAAATCAAAAAGTAGGTCTCTCATTTACATCTGCATTTTTTATTCCAGTAGGAATGGTGTGAGCTCTTGCACCCAAATTCTAGTATTTGAAATTCCTATGGTATCAGTCTTCATGTAGGACCAAATTAATTCATTGAAATGAGCTTTTAAATGAGCAGTATATTAATGTCCTTTGCATGTGAGCTAATAGCTGATACCTATTTTAGTTTCCTAAAATGAGTTTAAAAACTCATTGCTCCTACTGTGGATATGAAGGTCCCAAAAATGTAAGTAAGGATAATTTAGGGCATGTAAAAGATGAAACTATGTTCACTATAAATTACAACTTATTTTTCTTAAAAAGTACGTACACTGATTAAACTATAGTATAAAACGTGTTCATTTCTTCCACTGCATTTAAATTTACCTTTATTTAAGTAGCAAGTTTTGTAATTTATTATAAGGTAAATATCTTAATTTTAGTCAAATGTATACTTTAAAAAATATGTCACTATGAAGGCACAACATAGGGCATAGAATCAATATCATTTATAGTGGTAAACATTTAGTATGTATGTAATTGTCAAGTCACCATTTTGTACACCTGAAACCAATATAATATTGTTTATGAACTAAGAAAATACATTATCACTATTATCACTTGCGTAACTGCTCTATTTATATGCTTTACCCATAAATTACTAACTTAAAAGGAAAAATAATTTAAAAGACAAATAACAAATGAGCACAGTTTTCCTGAGTTTGGGGGAGGAAATTACTGTGGAAATATTACCAACAAGACTATTTCTGTTTTTCCTAAAAATTAAATTATCATGTGTATAATAATGGCCCACTGTGTTACAGTTCTAGCTGTTGCCAAGCAACAAGAGCTCTGCTTTGTTATTTTCTGCTCAGGTTCCTTAGCTGCCCAATACTTCCTTTGTTGGAGGAGAATATTTACCTTAAAATTTTTTTAAAAACCCTACTCTGTCAACATTTAGAAAGCCAAATCAATAACTTTATTTTAGATTAACCAGTCCTCCATTGTAAATATAAGAGTTTTAGAGATAAAGAGAACAGAGTCAACAGAAGCATTTAATTTTTGGTCATCCAAAATTCAAAGGGAAAGATCATGGATATGGATTCACAGTACACAGCTGGAAAGATAAGTATCTCCGAAAAGTCCATCCTTTCAGGAACAAAGGCTGTTGAGAATATAGATTATCCACATTATTTATATCCCTTAAGAAAAATGAACATGCCTTTTGTGAAAGGAGTTGAAGACAGACATGACCATGGCAGAATTGAAAAGAAAGGCAACCCTACTTTTCTTAAATTTCATCGTTATCCCCCATCAGTCCTGCCAGACTATCATTTATACTATCCTTATCCTCCGCCATATGGGCCAGATTTTCCATTATTTCCACTTCGAGATGATGTACCTTTAGGAGATGCCTGTTCACGGTTTATGAGTCCTGGTGGTGATGCTGATTTAAAGCCTGGCATTGGCAGAACCATACCATGCCTGGCGGATTTCAGTGATGTTAAACCTCAACATCGAGTTCCGAGGCCAGACACAGGATTTCAAATGATGTTAAAAAGGCAGAAATATTTACTAGAAGAACTTAAACAGGACAGGAGATGGAATTCCAGGGCAATACCAGACATCTCCATCAGAGCAAGACTTGGAGGTAAAAAAAGTGACATAGCTTTTACAATTTTTAAATACTCAAGGGAGAACAACATAGAAAATTCAGTATTTAACAGTTAATTTAACATTAAAATTATAAAGAATCAAGTAGGAAATTCTTATTTTTAAATTACAGGTTGTCATGAAAAAGTAAGAATAACAGCCCTTTGATAGAGTATTTGTAAAACATTTGGTTTTTTGAAAAGTGCATTCATTAGTATAAACCCACAAAGTGTACATCAGATAATTTATTCTAAACATATAGATACCCTAATTTGCCTTGAGAAAATTTATATTTAAACTTGATAATTATGTAGCATGCCTCCTTATCTGTCTACCTTGAAAAAATTAATCTGCTGATGGTCATAAAAGAGGTTACAGGGGTTGAAATTAAATGGGAACGTAGCTGAAAGAAGATTTTGGGGTCTGGTAAGAACAGGAGCTGAGGAGACGCAAGCCCTGCATACATAGCTGCACCACAGCCTTGGAGGCAGAACTGATGATTTCTTTCTGACAGCTGTACCTTCTGGAAGAACTCCCAGGGAGTGTCACAGGCCCAGTCCAGGAGTGATGAGAAACAGTGACAAAGGAAAGCCACGGAGTATTCCAAGTGTCTGACAGGCCAGGAGTGAAAGTAATTAACATATTTGAGCATGTGGAAAGGAAAATGCTATAGCAAGAGATGCCAGGCTTGCTGTGGTGCCAGAGGCCACACCTTCTCCCCTCTTCCCTCTCCAACACCCAGGCAGAGACCAGAGGCCTAAGGAGAAAGTGGGCAGGAATGGTGACGCTGCTGGAATGGGGATCCATGGTTCCTGCCTCTGCTCCACAGAGAGGGACCGGAGTCAATTGGGACAAGGAAGGGAGTAAGAATAAAGGAAAACATAATAGAAATGAAAAGCCCTATAAGATAACACTCCCAGGATACTCACTTTTGAACCAGAAAGAGCAATTGGAGAGCAGCATAGGATCAGTTATGCTTTTGATGTGCACTCCAGTTGTGGCCTTAGCAGGTAGACTCTGGGAAATTCCTTGTTTGGAATTTTCACATAAAGAATATAAATGAGGTTCAATAACCTGTTTTAAGAAATAATTATTTTTTGATCCACTGGAAATTCCACCTAGGAAAATATGGTATTACTGAGAAGCCAATGCAGTTTGCATTGAGGGAACCATTGATGAGCTATGGTCCATCTCATAGACACAGTACATTTCTCTGATTCTGAACTAGGACTGTTTTTCCAGTCTGTCAAGAAAGGATCTTTTTTTTTTTTTAAAGTTCTCTTCAGTATGCTTTATTGGAATGTTTCATAACGAATCTCAGGTTGAACTTTTAAAAGCATCTCCAAGCTAAGAAGCCAAGCCAAGAACTCATCTTCAGACTTCCTGTAATACATTTAGATTTTGGTGAATCCTTTCTTTGTGAGATCTCCAAAATATACTGAAGTTCCAGAGCCTGCCAGGAAGTGGCTTTCTTTTTTTACTGTTTTTTTTTGTTCATTTGTTATCATTATTCTACAGTTACATGAAGAACATTATGTTTAC